AAAAAATAATTGAGGGGCTGGTAGAATGCTTGCTTTGCATGCATGAGGCCCTGGGTTGGATTCCTCAGCACCACATAAGCAGAAAAAGCCAGAAGTGGCGCTGTGGTAAAGCGCTAGCCTTGAGCTGAAGAGCTCAGGGACAGCACCTAGGCCCAGAGTTAAGGCCCACAACTCACAAAAAAAAAGAAAACAAGAAAGAATAAACCTTGGTGATTTTGCTATATTAAACTTGTCTTCTATAGTCTGTTAATCTAAGATCAAATCTCTAAATATACACTCAGCACTTGAAATCTCATCCTGTTATCTTGTTGCCTGTGAAGTTAAGCACATACTTCATCAGCTTGACATTTAAAGACTTCCTCACTGTGGCCACAAGTGGTTTTTCTAGTTTTATCTCCCTTTGCTTTGACTATTTTAAGCTCCCTCTTGACTGAACTGGGGCTTTGGCTTTGGCTTTGATGAGGTAGGTTTTGCTATGGAGCTGAAGTTGGGCTTGATCTCATAAACCTGCCTTAGCCTCCCTAGTAGCTAGGATTTACTTGGCTCTCTAGCATCATCATTAATTGGTAATTTGATTAAAAATTAGTTTGTAAAACATCTGATCATTAGAGCTATGTCTGCTAATTTCAAAACAGATTTTGCATCACAGCTGTATCTGCTATCCTCCAATTACATTATAAGTTTTTTTTTGTGTATGCATGTACTTGGGCTTGAATTTTGGACTTAGGAACTGTATCTGAGCTTCTTAGCTCAAGACTGATACTCTTCCACTTGAGCTTTTTGGTTGGGTTGGCTTCAAACCAGGATCCTCAGATTTCAGCCTCTTGAGAGCTAGGGTTTCAGGAATGAACTACCAGTACCTCACTAGATTGTAAGTTTTTCTTTTTTTTTTTTTTGTCGTGGGGCTTGAACTCTGGGCCTAGGTGCTGTCCCTCAGCTCTTCAGCTCAAGGCTAGTGCTCTACCACTTGAGTCACAGCACCACTTTTGGTTTTCTGAGTGGTTTATTGGAGATAAGAGTCTCATGGACTTTCCTGCGTGGGCTGGCTTTGAACTGCAATCCCCAGATCTCAGCTTCCCCAGTAGCTAGGATTATAGGCGTGAGCCACCCATGCCCGGCTGATGGTAAGTTTATTAAGAAAGGAACACACACACACACACACACACACACACACACACACCATTTAAGAAAGGCACACACACACACACACACACACAATTTGTTCTTCCTGAAGCTCTACCTAGTAACTAGTATTACTAGTGTATAACTCAAGTTATACAATTGAGATAATTTCTTGTTACTAGCTACCTCTAAAAAGGGAGCGGAAAAACCCAACCCATATCCAGTGTATATTTATGTTTACTCCAGAGGGGTCAAATAGAGTAATGATCTTCTAGAGAAAATTAAAATCAAATTTAGAGCTGAGCGCCGGTGGCTCTTGCCTCCTAGCTTCTCAGGAGACTGAGATCTGAGGGTCACAGTTCAAAGAGCTAAGGGACAGCACCCAGGCCCACAGTTGAAGCCCCACAACACACCCTCCAAAATAATTTTTTTTTAAAGATGTACACAGAACTTGACCAGCAAGAACCCAAAATTCCTCTTGGTTTACTTTTCTTTGTTTGGCATTGCTTTTATGGTTAGTCCCTGGAATGACACATCAGCTTACTTGCCAGCTGTTAAGGGAGATTTTCAGGTTTTGATCCTATCTTTACTTCCCTCCCTTCCCTGTACACTAGTAAAAAAGAGGTAACTTCAGATTTTGCCTCCTTTTGGCTTTGTATGTGAAAACATGAGTTCATTGTTGGCTTGACTAGAAAACAGGAAACTTCTGGGCTTGTGAATCCAAGAGGAAAGAAATCCATTTTCTTTTGTTTATGACCATAATACGGTCATCTGCCACCAGAATATGACATCACTAACATTTTTTGGTCTTTTTCTGGAAAACTTTTATATAATTGAAGTTACAATTTTGATCTCTTTATTTCATATAATACAATTTCTTGTTATATTAAAAGCTTTCCATAAATAGTAATTATTGAATAAGATTGTTATTTTATAAGTGTATCCTATATAATGTTGTTACATGTTCTGGTATCTATTTTCTTCCTTTTATAACTTTGTAGGCTGAACATCTTTCCTACTATCACTTCAGATTCTCACTCCATTGAGTACTTCTTTCTTGTTAACACATACTGCTTTGTGGGAGCTTCCATTAAGATATGACCTAAATAAATAAACCCAAAAGAAGACCCATCTGTGAGCTGAAATCTCCCCCAAAGTTTTCAGCAGAGTATTTATATAGGTACCAACATTCCTCTCATTACCAAAAATGTATAGAATTGAATTTTCCATTTTATTTGTTTAGTAAATACTTTAGACAACCTCATTCATTCTGGACAGTTACAAAAAAACCCTGAACTTCTTGCCTAAGAAGGGAAAGAAGGTCCATGTTTACATATTAACAGAATAACAAACATGATTATAATGAGTGCTACAGAAAGGCATAGGCATTGTGCCAATCAGGTTATTATGGGGAGTCCAAGAAGACTTTATGAATTATTAGTAGAGTTGAGATATAAAAATGTAATGGAGTTAATAGTCAAATTAAGGTTATCAATTACCTTAGAACTGGCATTGCTAAGTTCAGTGACTGTCATGCTGTAGATGCCAGTCTTGTCCTACTCCAGTGTTTCATGGAGTATGACCAGGACAGATTCACTTCCTTTGACTCTTGCTGCTGCTGCTCTCCTTCTGGATCCTTCTTTACCCAACTTCAGAATTCCTCAAACCTTTTTCAGGGATCAGTCTTGAGCCTTTTTCTTTCTTACTTAGGCTTTGTCTTCTATGAGTCATTCATGCCCAGATTTCTATCTGACTATGACCATTGCAAAGTCAGTTTAACACATGAACACTAAATCCCTGATCTTCTCCTCTTTGAGACCTGCTTTTCCTCCATTGTTTACTTTTTTGAGAAACCTCTTGGCAGCAAATTGTTGCTTCAGGACTAAAACCATGTGATTAAATTGGTAGTTCACACCTGTAATCCTAGCTATTCAGGAAGCTGAGATGTGAGGATTGGGATTGGAAGCCAGCCTTGGCAAGAAAAACTGTGAGACTGCTATGTCCATTTAACTGCTAAAAAAAATAAACTAGAAGTAGAGCTGTGGCTCAAGTGGTAGAGTACCACTAGCCTTGAGCAAAAACATTAACAACAACAACAAAACAACTGAAGGAACAGACCCAGGTCCTGAGTTAAAGCCCCAGGACCTGCACAAGAAAGAAATATTACACTGCTGATTTCTTCTTTTCATTGTTTATAGAATGTCTTGTATTCGTACTTTCAAAAATTCATTAAATACTTTCTAGTGATTGGTACTTTTTTTTTTTGGCCCGGTTGCAGGGCCTGAACTCTGGGCCTGGGCGCTGTCCCTCAGCTCTTCAGCTCAAGGCTAGCGCTCTACCACTTGAGCCACAGTGCCACTTCCGGCTTTTTTATTTTTTGCTTATGTAGTGCTGAGGAATCAAACCCAGGGCCTCATGCATGCAAGGCAAGTGCTCTACCACTGAGCCACCTTCCCAGCCTGTGATTGGTACTTTTATGTTTTTGATTATCTTAATCATAGTATAGTAAACTTTTCACTATTTTTTTCTTTCTTTTTTTGATGGTCGTGGGGCTTGAACTCTGGGCCTGGGCGCTATCCCTCAGCTCTTCAGCTCAAGGAGAGCACTCTACCACTTGAGCTACAGCGCCACTTCTGGTTTTCTGGTGGTTTATTGGAGATAGGAGTCTCACAGTCTTTCCTGTCTGTGGGGGCTAGCTTTGAACCACGATCCTCAGATCTCAGCCTCCTGAGTAGCTAGGATTACAGACATAAGCCACCAGCGCCTGGCTACTTTTCACTATTTTTAACAATCTTTTCTGTATGTATTATAAAGCCAAATTATATGTTCAAAAAATCCATTGCTATTCGTCCCTGTTAAATTTGTAGTATTTTGAAATATACATCTGTGTTAATACTGTTAATACCATTTTTGCAGCTATTTCAGCATTTACCTTGCATATTTCTTGTTTTGTTTTTTTTGGGTCCGGTCGTGGGGCTTGAACTCTGGGCCTGGGCGCTGTCCCTCAGCTCAAGGCTAGGGCTCTACCACTTGAGCCACAGCGCCACTTCCGGCTTTTTTCTTTTTGTTTATGTGGTGCTGAGGAATCGAACCCAGGGCCTCTGGCATGCAAGGCAAGAGCTCTACCACTGAGCCACCTTCCCAGCCCTACCTTGCATATTTCTGTATTTGTTCTTGTTTCCTTTTTTGTGGGTGACTTGTAATATAAGCTAATTTTTTCTTGCTTTTTAATCAAAAGAGCACTCTTGTTAGTGATAGAGTGATTGCTTAGTATGTGTAAAGCTTTGTGTTCAAACCACAGCACTGAAAAAAAGCATAAAGGCTGATATTTACATTATCAACTTTAAAAACTTTAATATTTCATTCAATGACATTTTATTAAATATATTATTAATAATTCTTAATCAGAAAATACAGTTACCATAAAGGAACATAGAAATTGCTCACCATCTATAAGCCTAAACAGCATTTTATTTTATTTATATTTTTGCTGGTCATAGGGCTTGAACTCTAGGCCTGCGTGATGTCCCTGAACTCTTCAGCTCAAGGCTAGAGCTCTACCACTTGAACCATAGTACCACTTCTAGCTTTTTTTGTTTATGTGGTGTTGAGAAATCGAACTCAGGACCTCATGAGTGTGAGGCAAGCACTCTACTGCTGAGCCACCTTCCTACCCCATAAACATCATGCACGCTCTGTTTATGTATTGAAGGAACATGGGACAGATTTGTTTCCCCTCTAGAGCAGACTAAAACAAGTAGTAGAGTAGTATTGTTTTTACTTTATATTAAACAAATGCTTGACACAAACATTTGATAAGTATTTGAGGAATCAGTAAAAGGAAAAAAATGAATTTATTTTTTCCCTTTTCTTCAAAGATTTCTATGGAGAATGATTATCTGGGACCTCGAAGAATTGAGAGTCTACAAAAGGAAGATGCTGATTGGCAACGGAAAGCTCACATGGCCGTACTGTCTATCCAGGATCTTACTGTCAAATATTTTGAAATCACAGCTAAAGCTCAAAAAGGTAAATCTTATAGTAAAGTTACTATTTTTAAAAATTAGTGTTTTTGAAATTAGCTTACACTATTTATACAGAGGGGGATTTCATTACTATATTGCTCTTGTTAGATGTTTTCGAAGGTGAGTAGTGAAAAGTGTTTTATGTTCAGAATAATTACACAGAAAACTGTATTAGGATTACTTGTGCCAACAGTTCAAGAATTACCACTATTAGCGGATTCTTTTTTCTTTTAGTCATGTTAGAGCGATTAGGTATACACATTTCTTTCCTCTAAATTAGTGAAATATAAAGCAGAAGGTAGAGTAATATTTACACAAATATGACCATTTAATTTTTTTTTCCAGTCTGGGACTTGAACTCAGGGGCTGGGCATTGTCCCTGAGCTTCTTTTGCTCAAGGCTAGCATTCTACCAATTGAGCTATAGCACCTCTTCTAGCCTTTTCTATGTATGTAGTACTGAGGAATCAAACCCAGGGCTTCATGCATGGTAGGCAAGCACTCTTACCACTAAGCCACATTCCCAGCCTGACCATTTAATCTTTAATAGAGCAAGTTCATGGAGAAAAACAATGACATTAACATTTCTTTGTTGCTTTGTAGGTCCCTCCACCATGGTGTAACTCGTTTTCACTATATTTGATGTTGGTATAATTTGTGGAGGGGAAGGGAAAAAACAAATTGTTTAAATAGGGATACAGGTGGACCCATTGCAACAATGAGATGCTCAAGTCCTTATGTTGAAAAAAGGAAGGGGGGAGATGGGAAGGGATGGGAAGGGGAAACAAAGGAGGAGGCAACAATGCTTGATAAGAAATGTACTCATTACCTTGCCCATGTAATTATAACCCCTCTGTACAGTATTTTCACAATTAAAATAAGTTAATGATAAACCAGTTATTGCAAGGGAAAAGAAACAATGACAGTAACGCAGTTGGACTTTTTTTGGGGGGGAGGGGAGGGCGGTTGTGGGGCTTGAACTCTGGGCCTGGGCACTGTCCCTCAGCTCAAGGCTAGCTCTACCACTTGAGCCACAGCGACACTTGCGACTTTTTTCTTTTTGCTTATGTAGTGCTGAGGAATCGAACCCAGGGCCTCATGCATGCAAGGCAAGCGCTCTACCACTGAGCCACCTTCCCAGCCCCGCAGTTGGACATTTATATGCAGAAAAATAAATTACTTATATAAATTATAGGTAATATGTAAAACTGAATACTAAATATAAATAATAAAACCATAAAACTTCCAAAAGAAAATATGAAAGAAAAACACCTATTTATCTTAGAATTATATGTGTGTTACAAAGGGGATTCTTAGCAATTACTGAAAAGAAAAAAACATAAAACTTAAAAGTGATAAAGAACACAGACAATAAATGAAAAATTTGGCAAAATGGATTTCATCTTTTTTTTTTTTTTTTTGTTAGTCGTGTGGCTTGAACTCTGGGCTTGGGCCCTGTCCCATCTTGAGCTCTTCAGCTCAAGATGAGTGCTCTACCACTTGAGCCACTGGGCCACTTCCAGTTTTCTGGTGGTTAATTGTAGATAAGAGTCTCATGGACTTTCCTGCCCAGGCTGGCTTTGAACTGTGATCCTCAGATCTCAGCCTCCTGAGTAGCTAGGTTTATAGGCATGAGCTGCTGGCTCCTGGCTGGCTTTCATTTCTTTAAGCTGTGCTGGACACTGTGCATGAAAAGATAAGAGTATTTGAGAGAAAATATTTTCAAATCACATATTTAACAAAATGTGTATTTAGAGTATATAATGAACCCTCATTTAATAAGAAAACAGTCCAGTTAAAAATCTGGGAAAGGGACATTATTGAACATGTCACATGAAGATAAGGATGATAAGCACAGGAAAGAAGTGTCATGTAATTTATATTAAAAAATATAAATTAAAATCACAATGAGAAAGATAACACCACATGCAGTACAATGGCTAAAGTAAAAAATACCATCAATCTAAAATGCTGGGGAGGATATAGGGTAACCAAAACTCTTTCTGCATTGTTGAGGGAATGCAGAATTGGATAGTTAAAATTCTAGAAATTTGGAAAATGATTTTGTAGTTTTCTTATAAAAAAGATAAACCAAGATGGGTTGCTGGTACGTCACTCCTTTAATTGTAGCTACTCAGGAGGCTGAGATCTGAGGATCTAGGTTAAAAGCCAGTCCATGACACTCTTATCTCCAGTAACTTCCAAAAAACAAAATGGAGCTGTGGCACAAGTGGTTTAGAGGTAGCGTTGAGCAAAAAAACAACAAAAAGGGCCAGGAAGTAGCACCCAGGGTTCAGGTCCCAGGTCTAGCACAAAAATAAGCCTCCATGTGACCTAGGCAGCCTAATAATAATTTGTAAAGTTTACAAAGGAAAACTACCACATTATATTAAGAAATAGTATCTTCTGCACTAGTGGCTGACATCTGTAATCCTAGGTACTCTGAAAAGACTGAGATCTCCATTGTGGTTCAAAGTCAGCCTGGGAAGGAAAGTTCATGACACTATTATCTCCAGTTAAATAACCCAAAAGCCAGAAGTGGAGCTCTGGCTCAAATGGTAAAAATTAGTCTTGAGCATAAAAGCTCAGGGACAGCACCAAGGCCCTGAGTTGAAGCCCCAGGATTGCACGCACGTACACACATACACAAGAATAGTATCTTTTAAAAAAAACTTTGAAGTGAAATGTTCAGGATGCTTTGATCTACTATAAACTGTTCTTGCAAATCTGTATCTCATTTAGAGTCTGCTTTCCAGATACTGTTCTCTAATTTTAAAAAATCCCTTTATATTACAGTTAAATAATAGAATCAAAATTTAAAAAACTTAAATATTAGGGCTGGGAAGGTGGCTCAGTGGTAGGGTGCTTGCCTTGCATGCATGAGGCCCTGGGTTCGATTCCTCAGCACTACATAAGCAAAAAGAAAAACGCCGGAAGTGGCACTGTGGCTCAAGTGGTAGAGCTCTAGCCTTGAGCTGAAGAGCTGAGGGACAGCGCCCAGGCCCAGAGTTCAGGCCCCATGACCAGACCCTCCTCCCCATTTTTTTTTAAATATTAGAAGGAAAACTCTCAACTCTGTAATTCCCCAACTGTATGTGATCATGCTTATTTTCTGCATAGTTATTACATAAGTGTAATATATAATTAATTCACTTTTAATTTTGTGTAAACAGTTTGAATTATTGGTCTTTACAACTTGTCTCCAGTTTTAGATAAAATTTTTTCCTAAACAGTGAAGCCTCTACATGCTTCCTTAAAAAAAATCTTTCTCTCTCTCTCTCTCTCTCTTTCTTATTTTGTGCTGGTACTTGGGCTTGAACTCCTGGTCTGAGTGCTGTCCAGTAGCTTTTTCAATCAAGGCTGCTACTCTACCATTTGAGCCATAGCTTCACTTCTGGCTTTTTTTTTTTTCAGGTGGCTAATGGGGGCTGAGTCTCTTGGACTTTTCTGCTTGGGCTGGCTTTGAATCTTCCATTCTTAGATCTTAGCCTCTTCAGTAGCTAGAATTCTAGGGTAAGCTAACCAGGCCTGGCCTTTTAGACTTTTTGGGGGCATTTTTGGTGCTGGTTCTAGGACTGGGCACTATCTTTTTTGTTCAAGGTGGGCTCTATCATTTGAACCACAACCCCACTTGCAGTTTTTTGATGGTTAATTGGAGATAAGAGTCTCACAGACTTTCCTGCCTGGGCTGGCTTGGAGCTGTGATCCTCAGCTCTCAACTTCTTAAGTAGCTAGGATTACAGGCGTGAGCCACCTGCAGTTTATATTTTTAAATTCTCAGTTCTTGTTATTTTCCCTGCTAGGTTGCCTTTTAATCTGAACAAGAAGAGTTACTGGGCTGGGAAGGTGGCTCAGTGGTAGAGTGCTTGCTTGCCTTGCATGCACGAGGCCCTGGGTTTGATTCCTCAGCACCGCATAAGCAAAAAAAGCTGGAAGTGGTACTCTGGCTCAAATGGTAGAGCACTAGCCTTGAGCTTTAGAGCTAAAAAAAAAAAAAAGAGAGTTACTGAGTTGGAGTTCTTGAAATTGATTCCTTTTTCTGCACATTTCTATATAATGAACTTATACAAGAGAAACACTATAGGTCTCTAAACATTTTTAAGCTTCTTAAGAGTTTTAGCCTTTCTTTATGTCTCCATTCAAAGTGGCTTTCTAGTTTTTCTTTTTAGTTTATTATTATTATTATTTTATCTATTTAATTTTTTGGTTGGTCATGGGGCTTGAACGCTTTTCAACTCAAGGAGAGCACTCTACCCCTTGAGCCACAGCACTACTTCCAAGTTTTTATTATTTTTAAAATTATCTTTTAAGTTGTTGTACAAAGGCTTTTAAATTTACATGTCAAGTTACAAATATATCTTTTTTTGGGGGGGGGTCCGGTCGTGGGGCCTGAACTCTGGGCCTGTGCGCTGTCCCTCAGCTCTTCAGCTCAAGGCTAGTGCTCTACCACCTGAGCCACGGCCCCACTTCCGGCTTTTTTTCTTTTTGTTTATGTGGTGCTGAGGAATCGAACCCAGGGCCTCAGGCATGCAAAGCAAGTGCTCTACCACTGAGCCACCTTCCCAGCCCACGAATGTTATATATCTTGATGAGTGTTATCTCTTCCTTCGTTTTCCCCACCCCATTGATCATATTCCTATCCCATCCCCTCAAGTTTATTCACATATTTACATTGATTATTATGACCATATTTACCCTACCATCTTTACAAGAAGAGTTAAATAGGCCCTTGTATTTCTTTCTCTTTTATTTTCTTTTTTTTGCCGGTCGTGGGGCCTGAACTCTGGGCCTGGGCGCTGCCCCTCAGCTCTTCAGCTCAAGGATAGTGCTCTACCACTTGAGCCACAGCGCCACTTCCAGCTTTTT